AAAAAAGAGAAAAAAAAAGCGATAAATATGGTTTTCAAATCAGTTTCTATTCTTATTATTTGTTATACAAAATTTGTTCAAACTGATTTGTCTTGTTTTTGTTTCTTAATTCCTTATTTTTATAACCAAATTTATAGTGCTGTAATCGTTACAAAAAAAAACTGTAAATAATAATGTTTAATTTTTAATTTTGTAAAGAAAAAAGAAAAACCTTAGTTAATTAGTGCAACTTTGTATAGTACAGAAATAAATAATATAATTGTATTTGATGATGGCACATTAAAATATTCTCTACTCAGTTCTGTTGTTTAGTTGTAGAAAACAGTTGAACAGAAATGAAGAAGAATCCAGAAGCTTTTGCACACTATTGACGATAAATTCAAGTAAAATTTTTTCGTTTATATTCGAAACATTTGATGGTTTCAAGAAAAAAAAATCTGACTTTTTCTGTTTTATTTTTTGATTAAGCATAATTTTTTAATATTAATCTTAAGTTTTTTTTTTGGTTTTACAATTTATCATTACTGGTTCTTACCTGAAATGTTTTATTCGCAGTTTCTGGTAGATTTTTTGATACACCGATAACATACAGAATATTTGCGATTGCAAATGGAATCAGTATATATTCAGCACCTTTTTGATTAATTATTGTCAACAGTAATGTTGATAAAAGTCCACCAAAAATATTCTAGAAAAAAAAAAAGAAAAAAAAAAGAAGTAAACAAACAGAAGTCATTTTGTTTAGTTGAAATTGTTAATTATATCAGACAAACGAATAATTTATGTGACAAAAATGTTATGGAAGGAAAAACTGATAATTAATTTTGACAACAGAAAACCAAAATATTAGTAAAGATGTATATTTTTTCTTCCGCCTTTTCACCACCTTTTTTTTTTTTAGCAATTATTACCTGTACAAATGTGACAATTGCGGTTCCGGAAGCTCGATCTGCTTGCAGAAACAGTTCCGGTGTAACCGTATAAGCACTTTCACTTGCAATCGCAGCAAAACAGAGATCAACAGCAGCTATTATTGGCAGTGAATATAAAAATTTTAACTTTGAATTAATTTCTGAAAAAAAAAAAGTACAAAAAAATTATTTTTTTTTGACAAAAATAGAAACAAACGTGAAAAAAAAGTGGTTATAATCCTTGATCTGATGTTTCTCGAGGTCTTTATTTTTATCTATAATTAACATCTAAATCAGTTGTGTTGATTAAAACATGGAAAAAGAAATTTATTTAGCATAAAATTTATCGTCGATAAAAAAACTGCAACAAAAAGCAGCAACAAACTTTTACGGCTTCTGATTGCAACCGTTGCCAGAAAACCACAAAATACGCTTCCAACTGTTGGTGCTATTAACAGAAATCGCCTGGAATAGTTATCAAAACAAAACAACAAGGATATGCTGACAAAGGCCTGTGGAACTGCCATCAACAATGAGGCTGCTTGAGCATCGGTTGAGCGCATACCAAAATTGATGAAAACCTGCGTTGAATATGATACCCATAACTGTAAAAAATAAAAATATGCATTTAATGCCTTTTCCGGTTTTAAGTTTTAAATTTTTAATGTTTATTTTACAGTATTATAATTCTTCCAAGTTTGATTACGCAAATCTATCTTTTTATCAACTTGAAATAATGAACTTATTTTCGTACTGTTATTAGACTTTCAACAAGTAATAAGTAATTATTTCTAACCAAAAAAGTTTAGTAATGAACATCTAATAACAAAAAAAAAATGTGTTGTGTGTAACTTTCTACTCTCTTGCTTTAATCTTATCATTTTGCATCAAATTTTACACCTATAACATAGAAGATCCAGTTTTGTGCATCTATACAAAAGCGAAAAAAAAGCTACAAACATCGATCAGCAATAAAATACTGTTGATTAAAAAATAATATTATAGTAACAAAAAATTTTAACGGTTTTTTCTCCTGTTTTCCTTTGAAAATCAATTGTTTTTTTGCGAAGCTGACCGCGTAAACAGTTGCAAAATTTTCACACTTTAACATCGATCCAATTACGCCTTTCAATGTTCGTTTTTTTTTCGTTTTTCACCCGATGATTTATATTTGCATTTGTATATTTTTCAGATTTAATCTAACAACTGTATTCTTATCTAACTATTACAATGCTACAATACACTCAATACTTTTTTTTAAAATTTTTTCAGACTTATAAGGGTGGCTAGCTGCAAAGAAAAAAATCTGAATGAGAAAGCTTTAAGCAGAGATTTTAATGAATCAATAAAAATGACAACAAATTATTGTTTTTAAGTTCTAAAATTAGAAAAATGAAAAGATAAGATAATTCTAGAACAAATAATATTGTCGTAACAGTTACCCAGTCATTCAGATGAACAAAGCTCTGAGTGAACATTGCCACCAACAGTGGCCGAACAAATAAACCATCACGAAACCGAAGTAATTGATCTTTTAACGGTGTATACCAAACATTTTCATTTTTCGTTCTATAATTTATTCTCAAATAAAACAGTTTTATCAGTTAAATAATATCTTAAAAAAGAAAAGATTTTAAACATAAGTAATAAAAAAAAAACGAAAAAAAAATTTACTGGTTTGTCTGTAATCGTTGCTCGGTAGTAATATCCAAAAATGTTGCTTCAAAATCTTCTCCTACCTTAAACAAAACAAAAACGTAACAAAATTATAGAAATACTTTTTGTTTTTAAAAGTTCTAATCAGTTTATTGCAGCGAAACTTGCCTGATAAAATTGTAAAGCTTTTTTGGCTTCATCAACTTTATTTTTTAGCGCTAAATGTCGAGGTGATTCTGGTGAACGCCAAATACAAATAATACAAAGTGGTAAAATTGAAGTTGGTATTGCGAGCGCTATTGGCCAATAACGCTCGTTACCAAAAGCAAAATTCATGCTAATTAATAAACCAAAAAATTCTCCAGCACAAGCCCACATAGTCTAAAAACTAACAGCAAAATAAATTATAAATT